GTTTTACTTGAACCTGTTTCAGGCAAAGGTTTATTCAAGGTTGGCACAGCATTGCTTTTCAACTGAACGCGAATGACTCCTGACACTCTATTTGCTTCAAAAATTGTGGCGAATGTCCAGGTTGGTAGGCGTCTTCAGCGAAATGAAGAGAACAAATTCTACTGTTCGCCAATGGCTCGAAATCTTTCCTCTTGCAAAAATCTATCCAAATTTTTCTTATCTTCTGCTGAGCTGCCGATTTTCCACTTGGAAACCGAAAGAAATTGATAGCACTCGTTTTTTTTTTGAAGTCGCTATTACAACCGTAGACCGGGCAATACATGTTTTCACCTTCGCATTTCGGACTAAATGCGAAAATGAGAAAGGATACGCTCTTTTTACAAGCGCTTCACAGCTATTTCGGCAGCAGCACCTGCATCCGGATAAACCATGAATGCAAACACATGTCAACATAATACCAACATATGATCTAATGTGCTGTCATTTTGTCATGCCGACTTGTATATTATTTCACAAGCTTTGCTACCCGGCTTCCGATCAAAACAATTCACAATTGCGGCACAGCGGCGAAAGTGTTTCACATGAAGACTTTCCAAATTTGATTTGTTTGCGTTAATATATTTCCGAAGATTACTTCGTCGGCATCGGAAGCGTTAGCGCGTTTAAAAGGCACAGAGTCGAAAGTGTTGCACATAAACACTTGCTAAATTAGATATATTATTGCAGTCGGCATCTGAAGCGTAGGCGCATTTAACTATACACGTCTAATATACGCGCTTATTATAACGTATATACTAAGATTTGGAGCAAACTATTGCAGAGAACATCGCTACCTAATTGTTACACATTTTCCGTTATTTACGCTTCCCTATACTGCTTTTACCTTTTGTTATCATTACGGAATGTTGTATTCAACTGATATCTATTTGGCCGAACCCAGCCAATGACGTCAGTAATGTATTCCAACATAAATTAGCATGAGCATCTTTTTTCAAAATGGCGGACAATAATTCAACTTTATTTCAAATTTTAGGGAAATCAAAACCTGATGGTAAGGCGAAAATGTATTGGGTAAGTATTCCATAGGTACATATAATAGAAATGGGCAATAAAAATTTTCGTTGCCAATGTCCTTTAAAGTTCGCCCAAAACGCTGTGTCGACAAAGTTAGATTTGCACCAAATATAATTATGCTGAGACAACATAAATATTGAGCACTACCGAGAGCTTCAGAGCTCTTCCCAATGAAGACCTTTTTTTATTATTGTGCAGCGAAAACATGGCCACTGTGTCTCACTGTGTCCCATATCATAAAATGGAGCGATGAGATTGCCTTGATATGGCTAAAAGTTACTATATTTATGTAATAGCAATGCATCACTCTTATGCGCAAAAAACATTAGCGATGTAAACGCTAAAATGTTTATAAATACGACTCCTGCCGTGTATGTGGTCCTCACATCTGGACAATTATGACAACAGGCAATATATACATTTCAAATGTTCCAAATGATGGACATATTCTATTGCAGAAATACTTTGAACATGTGGTAAGTGTATAATATAATGTATAGAGTTTGAATAGTGCAAAGTATTTATCTAAAACAATATCAAAAACAGCTAGCGACAATGTACCAGATTGGAATTGCAGAAGGGCGAAACTGTTGGCTTTACTTGTGTGGGTCGTAAGTGATGTTGCCAAGGGTAATAACAATAAGAAATTAAAT